ATGTTGTTTTAAACGAGCTTTTCATTTTAATATAAATATGTGAATGTGCGAATTGTGGCCAATCAATGCATGGTCAGACAATACTCACCTCTCTATTATTATTAAACGCCTTTACGTGTATTAAATAAAGCTTTTAAAGTCTAATTTTTGTGTGAATAATGCTAAATGCCTAAGGATAATATCTAAATTAGTTGCCTAAGTATAATATCTAAATTAGTAATTTTTTCATCAAACAAAAAAATGTGTAACGATTTTTCCAGAAAGAGGTACTAAACACAGTTCATTTAAAATATTTTTTTATTGAATTGCTCTATTCAATAAATGAACTTATGATAGGTACATATCATAAAATACACATTTTGACCAATTTGTGAGAAATTGGTCCAATAGATAAAAAGTTAAAGGGTGGTGGCCAGTCTTCACACATGGCCATTTATGGCTTTCTCCTACTTGTGGAATAATTAGGTAAAATCGGATTATTCATATATAAAAATCACCCCCAGTAAATGATTTTAATATGAAAGATTTCGAACCCATACGACTAAAATTAGATACGATTATAAAAAATTTAAAAACTATATGTAAATATTTTATAGATCAAATAATATAAAAGAGCAACATCTATCAAGTTTATTATCAGCACAAGAAAATGCAACTGAAAAGTTTAAATTATACGAAACTCAATATAAGTCATGTTTAGAAAAGATACCTCAAAGTAAATTTATATTAAATAAAATGATTAATGGTATGATTTTATAGATTGGATTATATGCTCAATCGTAATATACCAATATGGTGGCATATCTTTCCTGCTTATAACAAGAAATGAAAGTAAAGAGCAAAAATGTATAAATAGTTGGATACCTGTAAATCACGAAAATTTAGTAATAATATTAAAATATTAAATTACTTTTCCATTTTGATAACGATTTTTTTTTAAAATTTAAGTTAATAATATACCCTTTTTCTTTAATTAAACTCATATCTGGATGCTTTATGAGGTCGATCTGATTCGTTGAAAATAATTCCCCTGAAAAAAAATCATCAGGAAAATAGTTTATCAGAAAAATCTTCTACTCCATTCAGGACTCTAAATTTGCTTCACTTTCATTTGGATTATCAAATTAATTGTCATACATTTTTTTAATACTATTAAAATTAGGGGAGTCAGGGGCGGGGTTAGTTGAACTGTGGTTGTGTCAAACCATTTGTCTCTATTTTTAAATGAAAAAGATATTAAAATTTTTGTTCTAGTCTCGATTTTATTGGCGTCCATCTATTCTATACATAATAATTTTGAAAAAATTGACTATTAAAGATATTATATGATTTTTATAATATTTAGAAAATTTTCCCCAAGACAAGATTATATTAAATTTTAGAAAAAATAATATAAAATTTAACCTAACAAAGTTTGAACCCTCTTTTAAGTTTTTGAACATGTATGGTGTCTAGATATTACTTATCATGTTTAGTAAAGCTATTATGAGTGAGGCTTGCAAAACAATGGTACTTTGAACCAATGTATCATAAGATATTTTCTAAATTTATATTTTCTCGTTGGTTATTTCATAGATTACTTATATCAAATTTTATGAGATTTTAAAAATTCTAAGAACCAAATATCATGTTATAAAGTGTTCAAAGTTATCAGAAATATATTTTAATTTTTATATATTTTTTGGCTAAACTTTACTGTATATTTATAATTTAAACAATAAAATATTAAAATTATTCTTAAAATATAAATTTTAAAAAATTAAAATAATATTTTTGTCCATTTTAAGGCAGGAAATATAAAATTGTGCAACCTACAAAAAAACGAATCAAATCTAATAATACTATTATTCGTATTCGATTATTTTTGAATTTTAGAATCGAATAATTAAGCTATTCGTATTCTTATTAATTGAATAATTCATATTCGTACATTCATTTCGTCGAATATTCGATTTGATTCGAATTTTTTTTTAATATTTATAAAATAGATTATATATATTTTGCAAAAAAATTATAAGCAGATGTGAATGTTTTAAAATGACACCCTTAAGGATTCTCGTGAAACTATGCTAATTGTCATTAGCCTATCAAAATTTACAGAAAATTATGAGCGAAATAAAACCTAATTATTTCATAACCTTATCTGAACAAATATATTTTTATTGTTTTTAGCTTTCACCTTTTTCTGGTGGTAAGCTCCTTCAATATCTCTCTTCACTTTATGTTATTCATGCTACTCTTTTTATCTAATTTATATTTCTGATATCCCACCGGAGTATTCTTATCGATTCCATTGTAAACTTGATCTCCCACTGGAGTATCAAAATCGATGGATCCCCACTTGAGTATCGCTATCGAGGCTATTGTATTTTGATCTCACACCGGAGTATCACTATCAAGTCCATTGTAGATTGTCGCCCACGAGGTCACCATTATCTTAGAGCTGACCAAGAGATCGCTATAATCCTTGAATGGCCCACGAGATCACTATTATCTTAGAGCTGGCCATTTTCATTTGGTATATTGGACAAGTATCTTAGCACCCGGCTGTCCAAGCCTGTCGGTGACCGGGGTGGCATTCTAAGCTCAGAAATTCATCTTATCATATGTCTTTACACATCAGTCATCGAAGAAAAACCTGGAAATTTTTACAGTTCCTTATCAGGATTGAACCTGCTACCTTCGGCTTCCAAGCATACATCATAAACCCACTAGGCCACCCAGGCGATATTTGAACAAATATATACACAATTAAATGATTTACATGAAGAAAAAAAAAGAAAAAAAAATTCACTAGGATTAATAATTACTTTAAATTTTACTTACTTAGGAATACTAACGAAAATATAAAATATTTCCTAAAAATTACGAATATAAAGGAATATTTACAAATAATTTCAAATATGAATTTCGAATAATAAAAATTTACTATCGACCATAATTCGCCAATATAAGTCCAAACCTTTCTCTCATTGTCAAAGTAAATAAGCTTGAGAAATATACTCTTGGCCAAAAACTTGAGTCGATCGTTTTTAAAAATTGACTAAATCAAGCCAATTAACAGCGCCGTATTTTAAAAAAACCGATTAGAACCGATATTTTTATAATTATATAATTTTTTCTATTTTATATATAATTTCATAATGAAAAATTAATGAAAAAAACTAAAATACAAATTATTTGTTGTATTTAATTAAAAAAAATATAGTCAAAAATTGTTCATTATTTTTTGTTATATTTCTGCAACAAGAAAAAACACAACTAATTTTTTTATAAAATTTACATAGTGGTATTTGGAATCTCTCTTTATTTTCATTATATTTTGGCCAGTTTGCCATTAGATCCATTTATAATCTTTAATTGTTTTTGTTAGAGGAGAAGCAGAGTTATTAATAATTATCATCATCATACCTTTATTCATTCTAGCCACTAAAGTAACGCTGCCATGTCGCACCTTTTCGATAGAAGGTGCTCGAGGTGTTGTATGGGTAATATATTTTCGTTATCCCTCGTAGGCATTTATTTATTAAGGTTTGGGACGTGTTATATTGCTTTTGGTGTCCTAATTGAAATAATTATAAAATATATTTTAGTAGACATATGCCGATCAATGACACTTTTTTAAAATATATTATTTTAAACATTCCTTTTTTTGGATTTTACAGGGTTTTAGATCTAAACTCTAAAATCGTTTTTCCCGTTTCAATAATTTTGCACGTGGGCCACTCCAATTCTGGTGTTTTAACATTTTACCTCGTAAAGTATCATTTCAAAATGGCAAAGAATGAATCGTTTCAATTAAAGTGTCATTCCTAACTTGTAAAGTATCATTTTAAATTTATTTTGCATTATTTAAATGATACTTTTACGAGGTAAAATATTTGTTAATCGTAAGAATATCCCTTAAATCATTTTAGACTATAACAAGCGGAGTATGTTACAGCACCTTTCCTACCAAATTTTGACAAAATTCTAAGGGATTAATGGGAACGTTATTAGTTTGATATAGAATCAAAAATAATCTTTTATTTAAAACTTGTGAGGAGCTGATAGAACTATATTCACTCATTTATTTTATTGATTATAATTTATCGATTCAGAGTTGTTAAAAGATAGTTTTCAAATGAATCTAATTTTATAAATATTTTTATAAATGTATCTAGATATCGATACAATTTATACTTATTTAAGGTGTGCATAAGGCTTAATTTAAGATTCTATTGTTAAAATTCAAATTTCGAAGTGAGCTAAATAATTTATTTATATACAAATATATAATTAAAATAAAGATTGTTAGATTTTAATAATTCTTTTACAAAATCTAAATGATTATAAATATTTGTTAGATTTTAACAATAAAACATTCTTAAATTTTTTATGATAATGCACCCCCATTTATCTATAAAATCATTTTTATCCATACTAAACTCCTTCTACCGGGGCACTTGACGGCAGAGTGGTTTCTTATATTTAATGAATAACAACTTTATATTGGTATAATCATTAAATATATTAAAACCTGACATTTAAAAAAAAACATTTAAAATTTGATGAATATCAAAACTAATCAATATTTAAATCGAATATTAAATTATTTGATCTTTTCAGAGATTGTAGAGAAATCAGAGACCTGCAGAGGTACCATATGCACGACCCGCCTGGATTTTTTATAAATATATTGTTTATTTTTAATTTTTATAACTAATAATGGCTATTTAAAATTTTTTTTTAGGCCTGTCCAGATATTTAAAAAAATTTTTTGATTTAGTAAAATAATATTTATCTGTTTTGTTTTTGTAATACAAACTTTGACATATTAAATGAATTTAGTTGAAATATTAAATTTAAAAAAAATAAAATAAAATTATATCTAAATGTATCTAAAAATAGATACAAATAATGTTTATTTTAATCAATAAATTGAATAGTTCTCAATTAAGCTTTACAGGTAATATTAAAAATAGTTTATAAATGACAATATTTTTCCCCGTTAATTATTCATGACGATTTATAGAGACTTGAAAAATCAAGATTTTGGGCCGGAGCCCGTCCGCGACCGGGTAACATTTTTTAGATCTAGGTATGGCTCGGCCATCCTGAATTTTTGTAAAAACATGGAAAAATCTCAAACTTAAGATATTTATTTTATTCTCTATTTTAATTTTATGCATTAAATTTAAATGTTCAGCAATAAATTTGATAATTTAATGATTAATATCTTTTTATACTAGTTACAAAATTTAAATATAATAATATTTCTTACTTCAGATTTTTTTAAAACAACATTTCATATTTTTAAAAAATTTATTTATAATTGTGATATTCAATCAGGCCAAAATTAAGAAAATATAAAATTAATAGAGTTCCAGACCTGGCTTATATTTTATTTATATGCTATTAGCCCGCAGACTGAAGCCCGGCCGGTCATGTAGGTCTCTAATTTATAATGTTTTAATGAATATTGTTTTGAAAACAAGGGAAAGATATTTCAAATGTTTAACGATATTATTCGCGGAAATAAAGAATCATCCGTTTACATCGATAAAATTGAATGGTGGAAGTACCGAAAGTCATTAGACAACAAAATGAAAGTACATTGTTTATTTATATAATATTTAAATTTAAATAGATCGAATTTTTTTTACAATTGAAATTAAGTAATAATTTATTTCATGTCTATAAATATTTGCAAGCGCATACGCAGCGGTGGGGGGGGGTGGGGGATTGGCAGGGAAACAAATCCCCCAGCCAAAAAATTTAGATTCTGACTAAAATATTTTTCAAAAATATTACTGATCCCTCCCTCTTATCGCATATATATTAATTTACATTTATTTATCACATTCACAGCAAAAATAAATACGATATTAATTTATTCTATGAATTAATATCGATTTCAAATTTTCCTTAACGTTAAATTTATCTACTATTTTTAAATTTCCACTGCGAAACTGTAGTAAATTATTTAAAAAACGACATAATTTAATTGAGAATTCTGCGAATAGCTAAGAGCATTTTATTGGAACTTAAGAAAATTAGAGCAAATGTAGATGACGAATTTCATAAATTATATGTCATCGCTGAGTCAATAGGAGAGCTCGATGAATTTAATATTTTTATACCTGGACTCGCAGCAAGGCAAGCCCTCGTTCCAATATATATAGGATAAAATATATAGACATTTTATTGTATAGGATGTTTAAATATCCTATGATGCTTACCAGCTGAATGCAAACTATGGTGCAAAAGGTTAAATATAGTAGATAATGTTCCAAAAAATGCTATAGATGCTTTGAATAATCAAGCATAATTTAGAGTATTGTAAAAATTATTAAATTTTGGCTTACCCATTAAAACTTCCATCAACGATAGAACATTTTCTTCTTTAACAAGAATAAAAACATCCATGAGAGCCAAAAGTAGTACCTGATTGGGTATTAGCCCTTTTTAATATACATAGGAAGCTGACACCAAGCACTGATTAAATCGTTGAAAAATAAGCTCAATCCCAAAGAAGATTGAATTTTACATAATAAATATATCTCGATTATATTTTTTGATACATAATAATTTTTTTTCATGAACACTTTGTAAGTTTATATACATGCAGGAATATTTTTGCGCGTTAATCAATATTTCCAACATATTTTAAAAAAAAATATTTAAATTTTATCAAATTTTAAATGCTTAAAAAAATTATATTTTTTTTACAAAGATTATTACATTTAATATTTTATCATTAATTTATACATGAATTTTATATTAATGTCCTAATAAATTTCTGAAACTTAAGATATTCTTGAATAACTCCTTAATTCTAATAAATAATTTAATTATCCCCCCCCCTCCCCATGATGAATTCCTAAGTACTCGCCTGACTATTAATATATGGTAAGCGTTTGAATCATAATTTTTAACACTAGTTAAAGTATTTATAATGATTCTTTAAAATATTTATATTATATATATTATTTATAATTAGGACTTGATTGATTGCCTTGAAAACATTATTGGGATTTCGAGATATATGTTTTATGGTCTTATAAATGATAGCAAAATAGATGAGACTTTGAATGATATGTGCATGCTTATAACAGAATTAGGATTTAAGTCTAAAATTAATTTCAAAGCATCAATACTTAAGGTATTCAATTATATTATTTAAAAAAAAACTTCAATAGTAATTAAATTTAAGATGAGTCTAATTTATTGTAAATATTTTTTCAAATTAATTTATAAACCATCCAAACTTATAAACTCATAATTTGCAGTGTTTTAAGGGGGGGGGGGGTGGGGGGTGGCGTTTGTATTATCTATATATCCAAGAATTTGGCATTACTTTAACTTATAAATAGGATTTTATTATTAAAATAATGTTATATTTTGCACCAAAACAAAATCCTAGATACATCACTGATAATTTATGACATCTAAATTTTTGACATCTTTTGATTCTTAATTATATTCTACAATCAGTCAAGTAATCACCTTTAAGCTAATTTTATTTTCACAAACTAGCGAATAAGTTTATTTTTTATTTTGCATATATTAATAATAAATGAATTGATGTTAACTCTTCTAATTTTTAAATGTAACTATTTGCATAGCTTATTTTAATAGATTATTTCAATTGCGGGACAAACATATCCAATATGATTGAACAGATAAAATCATGCGCCATTATAAATCCTCAGCGTTTATCAAAATCATTTCTTTTGGAACTTTCTAATTTACTTTCCTCAATCACAAACAATGAAAAAGATTTGCCGAACCTTTTACAGAATTATATATATGATCCTGTTATCTTAATATTGGAACCGGTATATTAAAAAAATATTTTATAATATAGAAATTATCATAATATATGTGAGTTTTTTTATTTTATCTAATAAATTTAATAATTAAGATTTTATTGAATGCATTTTAAACCTCTACGATTTTTATGATAAAAAAATACTAAAAAAATTGTGAATCAAATCAATATAATTGTGTTATTAGTACAAATGTAATTAATTTAAATTATATACAGAGTTTAACTTGTTTACCATGGGAAAGTATCAAATTTCTTACCAAACAACAAATATATCGGCAACCCTGTAATTCAAACTTGATAGTTTCATTATTAAAAGCTAATATGACACTGAATTGTTTGAATTTTAATAATTCATTTTATATGGTGAATCTTACCGGCGACCTTAAAGCTACTCAGGAAATGTTTGAACCTTGGTTTAAGTAATTATTTTTTTTATAGCAAAATGGAAGATAGAATTTTAAAAAAAATCTCGACTATATAAGAAATAAAAGTTAACATAATAAATAGAAGATGACAACTTATTCGGCCTAAAATGAATTGTTATTCTATTAAAATTTTTCGTATGCGATTATTCCATTTAAAAATTTGAATCGAACCTGAATAATGAAAAAAAAATGCTTCGAATAATAGCCTTTTTATTAATCACTTGAATTATTCGTATATATTTGATTCATGAGTATCTAACACAGATTGTCGATAAGGAATCTATATAATTTAATAAACCTAACCCGATTTTTTTAAAAAAAATTAAAGATATATAATAATTGTTTTAAAAAAGAAGATTTATTTTATGTGATTTCTATTTATCTCTTAAAATGACGATGAAATAAAGAAATACAACACATTCCAATAAACTCATTTCTTCCATAAAATCAAGGGAGAAAAATAAAATGACGAATTCTGTGTATCTATATTATATCAAATTAATAAATATCATAGCTAGAAATTATCTTATACAAACTAGGCACTTAATTAATTAAAGCACTTGATAATGAATGAATAATGATAGAAATTCACTTCCTTACATTAATTCAAGTCGAAATTTTCGTGACCCCGAGAGCGTTTGCATCATTTTTGCAAATGAAAGAAAATAGCAAAACTCAAAATTTGTCAACGAACCATTGGTACCATTATAAATTCTTTTAACACCATCAAATTATTTAATAAAAACATCTATATTCTTGCATATGGAAGAAAATTAAAAAAATTTGAAATCCATCTATTACAAACATTAGCCACTATCCTCAACACAGGTTTCGATCGAAAGATTTTTAGGGTTGAAATATATTCTATTACCATAGAGAACAAGATTGAACAGAGATATATTAGATCATATTTTAATTATACTTTGTGATAATAATTTTATAATACGAAAACTATCAATTTACCTCTATATAAGGTAAAACAAAAACGAATCTAATGCAACACCTAACCTGAACCTTTATAAAATTTAAAACCACAACCGTAATCCATTTTTTCCACTTTTGAAAATATTTAAAAAATCAAATTTTCGAAATGTCATACGAGTAAATTTTCAAAATATTATTAATATTTTTTGGACTGAAAAAACAAGACCGATTGCAAATAACAGAGCAAAGAAGGTTTTTTAAAATTGATCCGATTCTTAACTTTCATATCGTTGACCTTCGCGGCAAATATTCATTCCGAAAAAAAATTATTTTAAAAATTGTTTTTTCAAAACTTAGGCTCCACATGAATATTTAAAATTAGAATGCTAATGTCTTAATTAAATACGCCGATTGTTTTAAATATTAAATCAAATTTTAACAGGCGCTATTATTGACGCTGCGCACTAGCATTCTATATACACAAAATTCCCCTATGAAAATGGGTAGCATGTGGATAATACCATTAATTTTATACCATAACGAGATATGAACATGGATATATGAATGTAACATTTTAGTATTTTAAGTAGACTGAATATGTCCATATAACATAATGTTACGGCCAACAAATGTAGTGGTTGAGAGAATTTAGAGCATAAAATAAATAGTATAAATAAACTACTAATACTTTATTAATTAATATAAAGACTAATTTTGTAATCATAATTAAAATAATATAAAAAAATTAAAATTAAAAGATTAAAAAATTAAGTTCGTAAAATCATTATCATTTAACAAGAAAAATATCCTCGATTATTTATACTTTTCTGTAATATTCATTTACATAATGTTTAAAAAACAAACTGAAATAATCTTGAACTTTATTTAATCTGAATAATAACTCTTTTTTCTTCATTTTTCTTTAACTCATTTGAATATTACAACACCCTTCCACTTAGATTAGACCCCACATTTTGCGAAAGACTAATAGTCGTGCATGTATTCGATTACTTCTTCTCACCGGTAGATTCTGTTTCTTGTCTTCGTCTGGTATTGATTGCATGCTTTTAATCGATTCACGATTGTTAGTCAATGATTATCGATACCCCATCTTAAATTCTCCTGTTGTAACTAATGATAAGTGCTTTATCTCGGTCAACGATATTCTATGCTTGATCTGCGATTAACGATTGTTTTCACGGATTCTTGTTTCTAAGATCATCGATTTTTTATCCTCTACTAAAGTTTTGATAAGCAATTGGCGATAGTTTATCAACGATTAACGATTGCATCCTGGTCTTGATCACTTGTTCTACCTAGTCGCTTGTCCAGACATCCGCGTTGCCTTAAGATCTCTTATCCGATAATGATTTCTTGTATCTTTTGATCCAAAATAAAAATCCGATCTCTAATTGAGCTCGATTGCGGCATATATTTTCTAATGACGAAAGCCGTTTCTCTTTATGAAGATTTTGGTTAATCAACAACCTGATATGTTGCTAAATATTATCAACTTAAATAACAGTTAAACGTATATCTTTAATAAAAATTTATAACGAATCACTTTTAGCTACATCTATCACTTGTACGTATAACGATCTCTTGTGACGAATTCTTTTTAGCTAAATGACTAATTCTATTCTTTTCCGTAATACGACCATTATTGATACCATTGCTTTATTGCTCTCATTCTTTGTCTTAGTGTCGATAATCATTTCATACATATCCCTCCTCTTTATTTAGAATTTCTTTTCAGAGTTAATTAGACTGAATTGTTGTAATTGCCCTGTCGCCTCCTCTCTCCAACACCAATGTAACATTTTAGTATTTTAAGTAGACTGAATATGTCCATAGAATATAATGTTTCGGCCAACAATTATAGTGGTTGAGAGAATTTAGAGAATAAAATAAATAGTATAAATAAATTAACTACTAATACTTTATTAATTAATATAAATACTAATTACATAATCATAAATAAAATAAGAAATTAAAATAATATAATATAAAAAAAATTAAAATTAAAAATTAAAGATTAAAAAAATTAAAAAAATTAAAAAGTAAATTTAAGTTAAAAATAATAATTTAATCATCATCTTTCGCATCATAATTTTTCCATTATATATCCTTTTTCTTTAATCAACATTTGCATAGTCTCCATTTGTATCGAAATTTAATTATTTTTTCTTGAGTAGATTTGAATATCTTTCGGCTTCGTAATTTTGTTTAAAAGTAATTTGCCTGTCTGGCGTTTTTCTTAATCTAGTAAATTTGCATGTTACCACAATTACAATAATGAATACCCAAATATATGGTTTAATTAATTTAAGAGTTTCCATTTTTCCCATAAAGGAGAGGACAAGTGCTAAACAAGTGTATTTATGCTCCAATATTAAAAAACAGGGTATTCATCTCTCAAATTTGCACCGGTATATCTAATAAATTTTATATGATAAAAGTAAAAAATTTAAATATTTTTTTTGCATTTATTTTGTCTTCTGCTATTTATTAAGGAAACTTTTTTATCTTTACATATAGCCGAAGATTAAAAAAATATATTATTTATTATTGTTGGGGTCTAGTAATTAGTCAACTATAAATAATAATCATTTTTTGATTAATGATAGTATGTAAACTACATTCATTAAGGCCGCGTTCAAATCTGATTTAATTTTTATAAGCAATAATGAAGTCCAGCAAGTCGGTCCGAAGACCTGCTCGGGCCTAAAAATTTATAATAAACGGGCCGAGGTTTTAAAATTATAAAAATTAACATAAGAAAATGGTGTTTTATTTTTGTTTCAGAATAAAATGATATAATTTATCTATACAAAGCAATTAGTGATTATTTTTAACTTTATAAAAGTGTTTTTAATTTATGTTCTTATTATAAACTTTTTGTCCGGACCGGGCTTTGGCTTAGATAAAATTTTAGGCCGGGCTTAAAAATTGATTAAATTTTAAATTTAAAACGCGATTTAAATCAAAAATAAATATTTCAATTAGAAAAGTATAGATTGATATTGAAAAATACCTAACTAGTCGATATCTGTAAATCGGACAAAAAATCATTCAAGATTAAAATATTATTATGAATGTCCTCAAATAAAACTGTTAACCCAAATTTAAAATTTTATATTTTTGACAAATAAAATAGTGGTTTTATTATTTTAAATTTTGTTACTGTTATTTCCCAATTTAAAATGCTAATGTAATTTTCGTTCATTTGTTAATATCTTAAAATTTAAAATAGTCTTGATTATTAATTTTGTAAAATCAGCATTTTTAGAACTCTCTTTAACTTTCCCTTTTCTATTAGAAGTTAGTTTTTTTATTATATTATGATAAATATGTTTTAATTTACCTTTTTCTGAGAATAAATCAATAGTTTATAAAAAAAATATTACACAAATCAAATAAGCAATCTAATCATTTTAAAAATGTTTGGTTAAAAAGATTTAATTACATCAAAAGCCATTCAAGGGCGTCATGGACACTCAAGACGTTTTTATCAATGTCGGGTTGTAAGATTAAGTCTGGCCTCAAGACCCAATGTCCTAATATTAAATATAGAAATATCCTCAATAATCATTTTGTATCACCGGAATTCAATCAGAATCACATATCATTTTTAATATAACATATTTGACTTTTAAATTTCCCTTTCCCTAATTAACAATTTCTAGTGATTGTGATTTGTATTATGACTAGTTAAAACTCTGTTACTTATATACATTATATTCTATCAAATAAAATATATATTATATTCTTAATCTGTTATAACAGTTATGAAATATTTTAATTTGATAATTTAGTTTTATCTTAGAACTATTCAATTAAATAGCCTCAGATTTATACATTTATATTAAAATGTATATAGAATGGATTCAAATTTAAAAATAATTCTGAAAAGATTAGAACTCAAGAATTTGAGACCAAAGAACGTACAAATGGAAAATCTAAAGTATGGAAGATATTCCTGAAAAACAATATTTTTTAATCGAGCTTGGTCAGGCTAATCAAAAAATTTGTGCTTGTGTCGGGCTCGGATCAAAAATTTTTAAATTAGGGGTCGGTTTGGGCACTAAAAAATTACCTTGTGGCTCTAATTATATGGTTGCTTTTCTAATCCACCATCCTGAAAACCAAAATGATTATAATACCTTCACCAACACATTTCTTGTCCTATCATCTGACCCCAAAATATATTTCAAATTTAACAGACAATGAGACCGAAGTAGCAATGGAACGTGCCTAATTATGGTAAAATTGCAACTACATTTGACCCGTATAAAATTATGTTTTCAGGTGTAATAAAGTTTAAAAAAATTGAATGATGGTTAACAGGATAATTTAATTCAGGAAACCATTCGAATGCTTCAGTAGAGTTTTTCATCATTTTGAGTTTATCAAACTTATGACTCGTTTAGGAAAATAGTTTTCTTTTAATTAAATTAAAATACCATTGTAGAAGATATGAATAATGCTTGTGATTATTAATCTATTAAAAATGATTTTTCAATCTAACAGACTAATTATTTTTTTATTATAAAGGAAACGTTAGCACTATATTAACAAAAATAATATTTTTTAGGTTTTATATTTAGAATATTAAAAAATTTCTCACTACATTGGAAATAGAATGATATAATTAATAATTATTTTATACATTATGCCAAAAATTATTACAATGAAAATAAAAATAAATCAAGTAAATTTTTTTTATCCATAGTACAATTTAATATTTTTCTTATAAAATTATTTAATTCTGGAATATTCTAAGTCTTTATCTTTCATTATAATAAATAATTTCATCAATTTAATAAAATATTGAAAATATTGATCACTGATTTTAAAAAATATCGAGATGATTTAAATCAAACTGATTTTTATTGGCCAATAAAATTGAATTAGCAGGGCTTTAATTTATATGCAACTGTCCTAAGTTTTTTATTAAACAGTTATCTTAATATTTTATTTCTTACGAAAAGTAAATCAGGTTTGACACCTAAATAATATGTATATTTTAATTACATGTAATTGATATATATATGATCTATCTATTTACATAACAAGATTATTAGGCTGGAAAGGATTATGTAATACGGCTCCATCGAACGAACAGTTTTTAAAGGCTATAACACAATTCGAATTATTCGTGTATGAATTATATTATAATTTAAATGTTTGCAAAAATTTAATGATAAATATCAATCCAAAAATGTTTAGGTACTATGAACTCTGTTGGGTAAACATAAGCAGATCTATTTTTTATTTAATTTTCTGGTATAAATTATCTTTCTTTTATAGATTTCTATGCAAACATATAATTGAATTTTTAAACAATAAAGACCGATAAAACTTCTAATATTAAAAATTGATAACTTTTATAAAATGCAGAACAAACCTATCAACCTTTATCCTAATTAATTCCTGTTAGGTACATATCACACTGATACTATATTTCATATTATATTTATTAAGATTAACGTAAACAATATAGAAAGAGAAATGAGGTTATATTTTATGCTAGATTTTTTTTTTCCCTACAGTAATTGTATATTAAATTAACTAATTTAATATCTATTATATAAAGATATTGTGGACATGGTGCTGGTAATGCATATATAAAAAAAGATGAGTTGAGTCAAGCAGAAGGAAAAGCAGTATCCTGTTTAATGGGCTGTAGCACCGGATATTTACAATCCAATGGTTTATTTGAACCTTACGGTGTCTTACTTAATTACCTCATGGCGGGATGGTATGTTTTACATCCATTTGGCATTTATTAAATTATACTCATTTTATATTTTTAGTCCTACCGTTATAGCCAATTTATGGGATGTGACATCAAGAGATCTTGACAGATATTTTAAAAATTTGCTCGAAAATTGGATTGAAAGTCCTTCATCATCGCTGGGAATTATTGTACAAAAATCCCGCTTTGTTTGTAAATTACCTTATATGGTTGGTTCATCTCCAATAGTTTACGGTTTGCCTTGTGTTCTTGATGAAACTACATTGAATGTGCCATCAATAGAAAAATAAATCAATACTAATTTTTTTTTGTCAATATTATTAATTATCGATTCAGAACTTTAAATGAATTATAAGAAAAAAGAATTAAATAAATCATGTGTTTATTGCTAATTTTGTTTTGTTTCTTGTTTAGCCCAAATTTCTAATTATAAGAACTCATTTTTACCAGGACTGATCCTTCGTAATGTTTTGGGCCCAATCTTTTCTTTAATTTAAGGATTAAGGATTCATATTTATTTTCATTAGTAGAATCAGTTTGATTTTTTCCTCCATTTTATAAAATTTATATAAAATATAATATATTTTTAGGAATATTTGTTTTTATTTGCTAAACTATTAATAAATAGGACTAATAAAGTAATTAAAATAATTTTATTGAATCTAACACAGTGATGCACTGAAACCTTCAATGTCTAATCAGATGCTAAGGTTGGATCTCTAAAAATCTATTTGGTTAGTTTAAATTAAAACGAATTATTTTCTCATCAAAATATTCGCAAGACTTGGTTGGAAGTCTTAATAAAGATATTTCGAAAAATATTTTGTTTAATGAAATAATTATACTTGTTGAAATATATTTTATAAGCCCTTATTTTTATGCTCTGAGCCCCGGTTTTAACCCCCAAACTCTAGTTCATGTATTTTAATGTATTCGAACCCTGTTTTTTAAGGAGGGTTCAGAGCTTTGTTTTTGAACCACATATAAATATATATTAAATTCTTCGATTTTCCGCACGATTAAATAATATTCCTTAAATTAAAGTGCTATATAAGAGTTTTTCTATTCATTAGAGATTCGATAAACTTATAATATAAAAATATTAAATATTATTTTTTTTCCCCCATTTAAATCTATAGATATCAGTCCAAGATTGTGAAGGATATTTTTATAATGTAAAGGAATATGACGTAAATAATTACAAAAAACAATAAAATTGATGAACAAAATTATTTTAAGCAAATAAATTTATTTCGAATTTTTTAAAATGATTTTATAAATATTCCCCTGACTTGTAAAATAAATTAATTTAATGTAAAATAATTTTCAAAATAAATCTTGTTTTAAATAAGAATATTTTCGAACGATAAAAATAAGTGATATTGTCATTTATTATTATTATTTTATATGGTGTACGGCCTATTTAATTGAATTTACAAGCGAATTACCCAGCATTCAGCATTATTGTTCTGTTTTAGTATTCAAATACTTTGAGTTAATATAAATAGGAAATATAAAGGTAAATAATTTTTTTAAAATCTATTTATTAAATGTGACATCCATATATTTTATGCTATTCTAAATACACAATTATTTTATTTATGTAGTAAATAAAGGTGCACATTCTATTACCAATCAAATTTAACAAAAAAGATTTATAGATTTAATGTAATTACCGATTGAAATATATTAACGGCCATGTTTTAATCTAACATTAATATTTTAAATTCTCTCGCTCCAAACTTTAGGGGCTATATTGGATGCCATTTTAGCTTATTTGTCTTTGCTATTTTTGAATATTCGATAGAGTGGACCCAAATCCGAATTGAATGAGAATAAAATATAAAAATATTGATTACATATTTTGTGCTCTCTTAATAAGAGTTTTTTTCTAACCCTGTATATAAGTATGATAAAAATTGTATCTGCAAACATATATTTATAAAACTGTATCTTTATCTAGCGTTTTTAGAGGATATATCTGTATCAATATCCATTCTTAGGCGATGTATATTTATCTAGATTCATTTAAAAAGTATGTCTCTTTAAACAACTCTGAAAAATATAAACGCATTATAATAATTAAAATTATATATATTTAAACAATCATAATATTATTCACAATTTTTTTTACAAATATTTGAAATGAAAAACAACTAGCTATGCCGATCCAGAAATTTTTCACCGATTCGATATTAAAAAAACTGATCCGATATTTATATTGATTTTTATGTACCATATAGCTTTGTATCAATGTCATAAAAATATATATTGTATTTTTTTAAAAACCATCTAACTTTCACGAATGATTAGGTGTATTTTATTTTTTCTACTCTCCAAAAGTTAATAATCTCATTCAAAATATTTGCAATGTTTATAGGCAAATGTAGTGTTGTTAAGCAGCTCCATTTAGCTGATTAGTAAAAAGAGCTAAATCAAAATTTTAGCCATAATATTATTACCTTAGTTTGATAATTTTGCCAGTAGAACTCAGTGCCGATCCAATATTTAATATATATTTCGATAAACCTTACTTGTTACTATTATTATTGTGATTCTTAATCCTTTAAAATAATTTTAATATAAAAATAATATTAATCCAGTTTAAAATGGAAAATATGACCAATAAAATTTTTTAATTATTTAACCAATAAAGGTTTTCATTTTTCAATATTTTAATATTGGCAGGAATGAAATGACAAATATTTTAAACCTTATATTTAAAATAATAGAATGTAAAGGTATAATAAAATAAAATTTTATATTGTATAATTATGTTCATACCAGAGCTGGCACACAATCTTTTTCAGTACCGGTAGCTAGAACAGCTAAGTTAAAAAATGGCGGTGCCAACAGCGCGCTTTTTTTAGACAATACCTAAATAGAGCGCTATTTTGATATTTTCAATTTTATTTAATAAATATCAGATACCATTTTCCATGCCAGGATTTGGGAAAAAAAAATTCAGGCCAGGCCCGGTTATATTTTAAAAATTACCCGGGCCGGGCTTACAACCAAGCCTGCAGGTCTCTGATAAATATTTTGATAAAATTAATTTACAGAATCTGACAAATCTTTAGATTCTTTAAGTCATGTATAATAATTACACCCCTCATTTTAGCTATAATATAAATATTTCGAAATTTAGACATTTTTTCAAAAACTTGACTTGAATTTAAATGGTAAAATTCAGTTATCCTCAATATCATCCTTAACGAATGTCTTCTGCCATTCCCTTTGGTGTAAAAAAATGAAGTTTAATTTAAAAATTTTATCGATTCGTCATTGAATCTTTCATTAAACTGCATAATGTCAATTCAAATAGAACAAACAGGTTTTATAGCTAAAATGAAATATTACATTTAATAATGAAAGTATATACATCTTCTTTTTGGATTTATATATTTGAAGTCTAGAACTTTCAAAATCAAAAAGCAGATTTCTCCCCTTCATAAAATCGTGCATGAAAAAACTTTCACAAATTCAATGTTACAATCTATTAGGATTAGATCTGTGCGCCGAAGCCTCAATTGACGGTGGTGGTTTTTTAATTTTTTTCAGCGTTCAGCGGCGCTCCGATTTCGCTGCCGCCTAATAAATTAGCGGCGTCCGTGGTGTTCTAATTTAATATATATTACATTTTCTAATAATTTATTTGGGATCTCTTACTTCTAACATTGTTAATATAAATTATTTTCTGTCTCACCTCTATTTATATTTATTTTTCTCATTCTCAGAAATAGACGAAGGAATTGCATTTTTACTCAGATCAGAGTCATATAAACAAGTAATATTATCAAGATTCGTGGGGCATAAAAAAGTAATTTTAAAATAAAACATAACTATGATAAACAAATTAGGAAAGTCACAAATAATGTTAATGAATTGTTTTTTTAAACTAAATCGGATTATTTTTGTAACCTATGTAGAAAGGAATTATCAAAAATTAAGGAAACTGCCAAATGTAGTTAACATTATTTCTGATTCTAGAGTGTAGATGAGGACATTAATGTTTCATTGTAAGAAATCGAGTAATCTCCCAGTAAATATCGGAGATCAAATACCAAAAACAAAATATTTGGTATGGAACAACCAGACTAATATAAAAGATAAAATTTTACGCGCAATAACCGGCGCGCAAAAGTTACATGCCCACTAGTCTAAGAACTATTGAAATAAAAATTCATTCAAATGTCATGATGGTAAAGTGGAAAATATTACTTATCAAGAAGATACGAGATATAAAATGAATGATATTAATATGTAACTTTTGGTGGTTGTTTTAGATAAATGACCAAAGTGCAAGTTAGTTTTCCAAATTCACATGAACCTCCCTACCCATTACATTTCCACCTAATGAGGATAAGGTATATACCTGTCAATAGGTTTGAATGGCTGCTTATCCATACAAACGATAATTATTTGGCCCCTCAGGGCGAATCTTTTGATTTCGATAAACTTTAAAAAGTGCGACCTTGTATGACTATGAAAAACTTTAGAAGGGCTGGTATGCTGGAAGAAATGATAGTGGACATTTTATCAGCAGAGCCCAGCCATCCATCAACAACTAATTAAAAAAAGTTGTGTGGAGATTAGAAGATATGCCGCCTCACATTTACCTATAAAATCCGAGCAAAGGAAAAGATTTTCTCACTGTTCAAGTTATCGATGAACATCGTTCATATTTGTGGCGTTATATCTCTCTTATAGTTGAAATTGTTTTAAATCGTATCATGAATAATAAGTATGTTTGTTTATTTGCAAAGTGGGATAGTAGGTTACTGGGAGCAATGGTAAAGATATTCTTGATTATTTAAATAAAAATTATATCAATGGAGTATCAAGTTCTCAATCCCTGACACGTTGAATTGAGCCTCGATTTCCTTTAGAAACTTAGAACGTGAATCAGAGCACTCTATCCGACGAAAAACGTATATATATGAATGCGAAGGTTGGAATCATCGTTGAACTATGACGTGTAGTTAGTTGGACACCGAAAACAAAATCGCAGTTATATCCAGATTCAGTTAAAGAAATTTAGCGAGGAATACCGTGATGGGGTTAAAGCTTTCCAGATTTTATAAGAGCGATTTCTTCAATATTCGATGTCAACTCAATTATTATTCTAAATTATTAAATTTGTATATACTTAATTATGATTTACCAATAAAATAAATATATCTTATTACAAAATTTTGTCAAATTTAGTCTACTTAATATTGTAAGTAATTAAGGATGGACTTATTATTTACTATAACAAATAATTTTTACGAAAATAAGAAATACATGGGTTATTTTACTGAGGTATTTTAATTTTATCCCAGTACCAATTTGAATAACATTTTATTTAGTTTAAGCATTTTTTATGGAGGGTATATGAGTAATCTTAAAATAATGAATTATGGCCTAAAAAATTTAACTTATATTAATAAATAAAAATATACCTATATTAGGTGGTCTTAAGTAAATTCTATAAATATGAAAAAAAAAATTTCGGGAGGTTTTTTTCGGGATTCACTAAATATAGGAATAATTTATATTTTTTAAATAATCTTTCTTTTTATCGGTTTTTCCAAAATAGGACTGCAACTAATTAAGTTATAACTTAAAAAATTAAATTGCAATATATTTTATAATAATGCAAAGTTTCATTCGATAAAGAGATCTAAGAGATTAAAATAGGAGTTGAATTGAAAGGAGATGTTGTAAAGATGATGCTAACTAATAGGGCCATGTTAAAATCTTAAATAAAAAATTAATTAATTATATGAACAATATTTTTCCATAACATAATAGTAGTGGACTACTTCAAAAAAAAGGCTGTTTAGATATATATTAACTTTATAATCAAGGTTACAATTATGATAATTATTAAATTTAACATAAATTTATAGATTAATCAATATTTAAAATAAACATTATATTTTTAAATTTTTATAAATAGCAATAATCAAATTTAAGATAATTTATTGATTTTGACGATGTCTTTTAGATCGCCCACCATTATTCACTGGCTTTTGATTTTGGGTTGGATGAGAAGTGGATGCTGAGCTATTTATATTTAATTAATTGTCTACTATATATATAATACTTGGAGTTATAAGTCAGAGCTAATTGTGGTGAGGTATTATCGATCAAATTAATTTTAGTAGGATTTTTAGTTTTTTTGGCCCATTCTTGATTAAATCCAATCGCTTCAGCTTATTTATATTTAAAAAAATTGAAATTTAAATTCTATAATAGCAATATAAATTTATTTGTCTGATTCGACAGTAATGATTCTAATAATGAAGTTTCCTAAAAAAATGAATGAAGAAAAAAAATCAGTAAATAGATTTAAAAAAAGCAATATAAGGGTTGATAGTAAATAATAACTACTTGTATAAAATTAAATCAAAAGAAAATTTAAATGAAACCTTCATCGATATTAATAAACTCCTCTTCTTCTTCCTCTTCACCCGTATTTATATTTTTATTTTTTTGAATAACGTGAGCTCTTTCCCCGATGTGGTGACCTACTAATACTTTTTCTCTACCAGTCTTTGAATCCTTAATTGTTTTACGTACTTCCTTTACCTATAAATTTATTTGAAGAATAACAAATTTTAATTTGGGTTAAAAATATATTACGCCTCCAGGCCCAATGCGAGTGGATTGAGACTCCTGGTATACATATGGTTGTGAGTTTCCGTTACTAGAAAAAGTCATAACGGAAGAGTGAGAAAATCCTTGATTAGTAGGTATGTTACTCATATTTTGCATCATACATTGAATGTCATTTGGCTAAATTATATGATTCATAATATAATTAATAATAATAAATTAAATGCAGAAAAAAAAATGTCCAAGAATTTCAAAAAAAATTTATCTTTTAAGTCGTATGGATAATAATTAAAACCAATATCAAAACAATATGCTCTATATAAAACATAGCATTTTTTAATTTTAAAACAGAGCATTTCATATTTTTTTAGAAATAGGCCATAGGTCAAACCATTATGTCATCTTGACGCAAAATTTCGAGACTTTGGTAATATTTTTACCTAAAATCTTGATTAAACCTTTGTTAAAAAAGGACCTACATTGAAGTCAATAATACTATTCAGAATCTATTTTTACTCAAAATAAACCAAACTTTAAAAATAATTATCTTGAACCTAAGCACCACAAAAATAAAATTGGTCCAAACCCTTTGAGAGGAAGGCTTCAAGATAACGAGGAGTTTTTAACACCACCTCAGTACTAAAATTAAATATATTTAATAATTCGAAATTATTCATTTGGATTAAAACAAATTGAAGTTTTGTTAAACGGCTCGTTAACCGAGTTTTTAAAACAGCTAACTCAATATTTCATCCAGAATAATATTACGCAAGCCTAAAGATTTTGCTTGTAGAAGGAACAAAGGTTTGGAGATCTATAAAATCTCGTGGCTTAGGTATTATTTTTCTGGCTAAAATATCGAGTTCAACACTAACAAATTGCATAAAATAGAGGCACACTTTTAATTTTTTAAATTAACCCTCAGTGAATTTTTTAAAAAAAATAAACCCGAGCGGGCCTGAAGAATATTTCGCGACTATTGTATAAATAAAAATTATTGTATCATATATCACATTCATTCAATTCACAAATTTCCTATTTCCATTTCAAAACCATTTTATTGATCATTAGAAAATACTTAAAATAAAAGTAAAATATTTACAAATTATAATTATTTTTAGGTCAAATTATAAATTTTATATATACATCTAGTTATTTCAGTAGTATTAAAAAAATAATCTTCATCTATTATTTTAGTATAAAAAAGATGTTTTAAGAGTTATTAGATATTGAATGATTTGCTGAAAAACGTACCATAAAATTTAAATTACAATTTTTTTCGAATTTGGCAAAATGGTAAAAATAAATATATAATATAATTTCAATAAAGATGAAATAAAGAAAGATAATTGTCATAATTATTCTTTATAAACTATATTTTAAATAAAATAAGTAAATATATAAAAATTATTTTATTTATATTATGATTTTAATGAAAACAATGATGGGGGAAGGGGGGCGCCTGTCTGCTCATGGTGCAACTCGCCAGTTGACTCGAAGGGTGACAGACTCTCAAAAGTATAAAAAAGAAGCGTAATGGATATCTTGGTCAAAAGATAATTTTATATTAAAATTGTTTTCGTCTTAATTTTTAAAAAAATTTAAGCAAAAATCTATATTGATTAAATTTTACCTTTAAAATTCCAAATATTTTATATAAAAGTTCTTATATATATAAAAATTAATTTTCAAAGATTTTTGCTCAAAAAATTTCTAATGAATCATTTTAAAAAAAATTTAACAATTAAGACATTAAAGGTAAATTTTTGTTGCGAATCCATATTTGCATTCGCGAAGGCTATATCGAGAATTTTTTATATCAGAACTTTTACCGAGATCTCTTTAGAGCTAATAAATAACAGCGAAACATTTGTCGCCATTATATAATAGCGAAAATCTTACAGAGAAGGCGAACCCGAACTCGCAAAGCATCTAAAACTATTTTGAGAATCAAATTGAGAAAAAGGCACGAAAGCAATAGCGCGATAATGGCTAATAGTGAATTTTTTAAAAATCAATAAAAATAATTATTTTATTCTTTCATATATTTTTCTGAGACTGAACATTCGTTTTCTGGGACATTCCGTTTTATATATGATCATTAAAAAATATTCCGGACATTCAGTAATTTTTCGTTTGAATATTCTCAGCGTTTAAATTTTTCAGTTTTAATCTTGAGCCGTTATAGGTAATTTTTAAAATATGAGACTCGATAGATCTATTCGTAGTTTTAATACTATATAATTTAGGAGCGATAACATAAAATTATTCAAATTATTTTTGAGATTTGGAAAGAAAATGTGCCATCAAATTATGCTGGAGTGGCTACGATGAAAATGAAACTATTAAAATAGATTAATTTTAAGTTCAAAAATTATAGGGATACCTATTTGATAAACGGGAATTGAGAATATGAGGAGAAAATTCATGTTAAATGATTGTGAAAATTCTCAATTAAAATTTTCCAATAATTGTAAAAAAAATTTCTTGGAAATGATAAATAATTTAATAATTTTTAAAAAAAAACTAGGTTCTAAAAATTTGTAGAATTGTAAAAATGAATATTTTTTAAAAGAAAAAAAATTGATATAAAGGTATTTCTTATAAAATTTCTTACATTCATGACATGATAAAATACTTTTCCATAAAAATCTAAAAGTTGAAAATGTTTAAAGGCGAACAAAAATTTATTAAATTTTCTTTTAATTACTCAAAACCTCAAAACTTCGAGTTGTGAATTTAAAAAACAAATTTAATTTAGATTTCTTTAAAGAAGAGACCTGCCGAGCAGGGCCAAAAAATGTTATGATTTTTAAAATCCGAGTCCATCCTAAAAATTTAAAAAAAAAAAATCCAAGCCGGATCAGTTAAATGTTAATATTTTGCTTAATACACAGAAACTATCTAGTCAGGAAATTTAGGTTAGGAGTGAGATATAGTTAAGTATTGGTTTATATTATAATAATTTTTTGCTTAAATTTTATTTTAAAAAAAAACCATAAGCAAACGTTACCCATTATATAGTTTAGGGTTAATCAATAATATAAAAATTGGGTTAAGTTTAGTTTATCATTAAGGGTTGAACCAGGAAGCATCCTAAAGATATTTTATTGTTTATAATTTAAGCTAACAATTTTATTTGGGAAATCTTTTTCGGGAATTTTTTTTATTTTGTTGATTTTCTCAAAACTATAAATATTTTATTTCGGGGATATATTTATATATAATTTGTTTCCCCTATTTTATCAATTTTCTAAAAAAATAATTTTTTTAGGACCAAATGGGGAATTTTTTTTCAGGGAATTATTTTATTGGAGAGCTTTCTTCCAGAGTATCCTGGAAATAATTTTCCTAAGGTTTTCCTGGGAATTATTTTCTTAGATTCGTTTTTATATATGTTGATATAATAGAAAATGAATTCTGTACTAGTGAAATACTCGATTTATCACTTTCTAATAAGCAAATCTGAGTATTGGAAACAATGTTACAAAAATTTTCAAGGGCTGCCCAGAGATCATCATCCAGAATTTGTACGCGTTTTTCACTTTCAAAAAAGTCATGAATAGCTATTTATTAAAAGATCTCTTTATTTTCTAATAACCTTTTTATCATAAAAGCTACCTAATCCCTTATCGTTAGGCTAGGCAATATCAAATTCATTATAGATTTCTTCAATTTTAATTTAAGAATATGATGTCCTTTATATGTTTAACAATATATTTTCCTTTAATGATATTTGCTCAAAATTCCGGCTTTTACATTAGTTATCTTTTGCTTTATCAAAATAAAATGATAATTTATCTGTAATAAAAATATAGCAAAACGATTTTTACTTCATTTATGTGTTCAATTTATATATATATATATATTGGGCCAGGCTTAAGAAATTATAAATTTTGGGCTGGGCTACAACAAAAATAAATTGAATTTACAGGCTCTAGAATGTATATTAGTGTCAATGTGTTTTTTTCAGCAATGTTTTAATTTTTTAACTTTAAATCATTTTTTGAGCAATTTTTAAAAATTTAAAAAGCTGATTTTACCAGAAATGTATTCCATCATGTTTGGAATATCTACCCTATGAATTTCAAACAATTTTTTCATAAACTTTTATACTTAATATAATTTATATTCGATTTTCCATATATTTTTTTATGTAAATTATAAATAACTCTAAAGTTAAGAGCAAAATTGTCTACAATTCATAAGATAGGTATTCCAAACATGATAGAATATATTTCTGGTATCCGATTTTTAAATTTATTATAACGAGCTCAAAAAATGATAAAGTTTTAAAAATAACACATGCCGGAAAAAAGACATTGATGCTAACATATACACTTAATTTTGATATTAGAATCATATTTATAACTCGGTGGTTAGTAAACTCTTATCCAATCACAATCGATAAGCATAAAATAGATCAATTTTTATCACTTGATATCCCTAAAAATAAAAGAGATAGGATGTTAGCTAGTTATGTGTACTTTAGTTTGTATATTCAATTTTACCTAACTCAAGGGGTTCCTTTAAACTCGTGTTTTGTTGATCAATTTGATATAAAATGATCTTGCTATCTTTTTTTGAGCACTAAATAAAATGTTTTTTGTATTTTATAATATTTAAAAAAAGGTAAATTGTTTTTTTAAAGTACCTGTAAATTGATTTTTTATTATTTAAAATTTTAGCAAGACCAAGTTTTATAAAATATTTATTAAATGACATTTGTCATGTCTTCTATATAAAATGTGATATTTTTTATAAATTGAAAATTAAATTTTGAAGATCACATTATACCATAGACCTGCAGAGGTATCATTTGTATGGCCTGGCCCAGCCCAGATTTTTTTTTCAAAAATTTTTTACGGCCCAGCTCAGCCCGGATTTAAAAATTTTAGGCCCGGCCCGAATATTAAAAAAAAATTTTTTGGGCCGGAATTTTTTAAAATAATATTCGATCTGGTATATACAAAAAATTCATTATTTCGTATTTTATCATATTTTTCGGCGAGTATTATCATTTAATAAGCAAGTATATTAGCTAATGTTGTTAAACAACTAGTTTTGAGCCGATTTTTAAAAACGGCTAACTCAATATTTTTGCCAGAAAAATATTGACTAAGCCTTGAAATTTCGATACTATATGTCTAGATCTTGGCTCCTTCTATGAGCAAAATTTTCAGGCTTGCACAATATTTTTCTGGAAATGTATTTAATCCTTTGTGTATTAACTATAATTTTATTATATAATAGATACTATGAGTGTTAGCTAATTTTAACTTTCACCAAACATTATTATATATAATCATTATAACCATATCTAATTGACGAATATAATAATTAATGTTGTATTAATTTTTTTTAAAAAATACATGGCTCAGCCCAGGTATTTTTAAAAAAAATTTTCAGGCCCGGCCCGGGTTTTTTTTTTAAAAAATTTTTCAGGCCCTGCCCAGGTATATTTTAAAAATTTTAAATACGGCCTGCCAAGATCTCTGCATTATACAAAGCAATTTTTTACCCTCCAAATAAAAAAAATTTCATCATCTGTCATTAGGTTAAGATATATTCATCATTATAATTTAAAAACTACATTTCAATAGAAAGATTAAGGGTTTTGAAACTTCTTTATTATAGGATGCATTAATGTACCTTTTTTTAATAAAACAAATTAGAAATATTAATTGATAATTTCTTTTTAAATTTAATTATAAAATTAAAAGAAACATAGTTTCCAAAAATTATTTAATTTCAAAATTTAAATGTAAGAGATTAATGAGAGTGATTTGTGGTAAATAGTAAGAGATCTTGCAACCATGATTATGAATATAAGCATTATTTAATTCAATTTTCTAGAGGCCCATTCCAAACTCTGATTATTTACATAGAAAATTTTTAAATATTATAAATGTTGTATGTACATATTTCTATATGTAAATAATAAAAGGTGTATTAACTTTAAAAGAGCTATTTGAACATTGAAAATAGAAAGAATACTTTATTGATTATTGTAAAATTGATGTTTAATTTATGTTATAAAATAAAAAGAGAGAAAAAGAATATAGTTGAAGTTCAAGATTCTGGTTCCAAACTTTGAATTTTTTATTATTTTATGACCAAATAATCTAAAATTTATAAATAATTGTTTTAAAAATCTAAAAGATAAATTTTAAAATAGCTGAGTCATCACTCTGATATAATTTAAAATTTAGATATTTTAATCTTAAATATTCATATAAATTAGATCATTTAAGTAAAATTGACAATAATGGTGATATATTATAAAATTTCAAATATATTTATAAAAAAAGTTAAATTTATCACCATATTGAAAAGTGCTTCCATTTGATTAAATACATTGAATGGATTCATTGGACCTATTCCAAATGGCATCATACCCATATGCCTATTTTGATATCTGTAAGGGTTTTGTCTTCGATTATTATTCATATGCTGATTAGAATTTAAATTATTCATAAAAGTAAAAGCTGAAGCAGGAGCAAAGTAATTGCTTTTAATTTAATGTAAATTTTAATAAATATTTTAATTTATTAATATAACTAAATAGTATTAGTTAAATTAATAAAATTGTTAATAACTTTGTATCTTCATCAAATGCACTATAATTATTGTTGAATATTAGTTTTGATACAGATAAGATGAGTTTCTATATATAACGTATTAATATTTCGATTCCATTATAATATTTGAAAACTTTCCAGATGTTTAATATTTTCTTTAATATTTTTTCCTCTTTACTGACTAATTATATTATAAAAGACATGAGGACTAATTTAAAAGTAAGAAAAAGAATGATAAATCAATTAATTATCAATTATATATGAATCCTACTCCATGACATAACATAACATAATTAACCCTGTATTTCATGCGCTATAATGGAATAAAAAACTAATCAAACTATTTTTTTTTCTTTCTTTCTATACCTATACTAATAACTCATGACTCGCTTATTTTATAAAAATTACTTGAATATCCAATAAGCTGATAGTACACGTAAGGGATATATATTTCTAATAATTTATAATACGAAGTATATTTATATCTTCTTCTAAGAAATTAACAAGCTATACTATAATATGTAAACACTATATTAATTTTCTTGAAAATCAACAAAACAATTATTTTTAGAACATCACATTAGTAAAGGGCACATTTTTGCCAATTTGCTTAAGAATATACACGACTCTTTTAATAAAAATCTTTCCTAACTTCTTCAATCAGTTTTGCCTGTTTTTCTTATGCTTTTCATAGCCCGTTTATTCCTATTTCCTTTTTGGGAGGATGGGAGATCTTCTAATTTCATATCCCAGGGGACAAAGCTTCTATTTTTTACAGATACAAGGTCCTCAAGAGTAGTGTTGTTAATTTGCTTGGTCGTAAAATTTACGACCCTGTGCTCAGGCCTGCTCTGAGCATGAACCCTGGGTTCAAACCTTGATTTATACTCCGTTCAGATGAATAATACTCAGCATCTACATGAGCGGGAGGGGTAGGAACAGTTTGCATCCTATTTTTTTGAGGAGGGTGGGGGGTAGGCGGCTTTAGGATAAATTTTTTGGGGGATTATCTATTAAATTTTGAGATAAATAGGACAACATTTATTGCTGTAAAAATTAATAATTTTATTATAGAACTATTATAATACAATTTATCAACCAAATCTATATATTGCAAACAATCATACACCTTGTTTTCCAAAATAAAACTTTCTGCTATCCTTTTAAATGTAATTTAAAAGGTTTAGATATTTCAGCAAGCTCATAATGTTATAATAATGAATTCATTGTAAATAATGGAGGTTTAATTAAATTATCTAAAAAATATCCTATATATTTACAAAATATCGATATTTGGTAGTAGAAATGGATTAATTTAAGTTATCCTTTATAAATTCTCTGAAAAGAATATCATTATAATTAAAAAGGTGGAAATAAGAATGGGAAAACAACGCCGCCGAAGGCGACAATTTTTTAGGGGGGTAGGTAAAGGTTTTTGAAGGGAGTTTGCATCCAGTGAAAATTCTGTCATGTAGACCCTGATAATACTATTCCAAATGAAAAATATTTACCAAAAATATAATAGTAAAATGCAATATCATTTTCTAAATGTAGAGAGTTAAGCCCTCATGCAACTTAGCTTAGGGTTAAAAAATTTTTAATCGGGGCCACCTAGTGCTTAGAAATACCAAAAAAATAAAATTAAAATGAGTTACTATATTGGTTAGCCGAGCGATTATTTCGAACTTTCTGGCAGGATTTATTTAATTTCATCGCTATTGAGAACTGAAATAAAATATTTAAAAAATCATGATGAATTTAAAAATACAATCAAAATCAGATTTTCATGGGCATTGGTTTTTTGATCAGGCTGAGTCCAGGGCTGCAAATTTGTTTTAGGCCAATGTCCATTGTTAATAATAAAAAAATTCAGCGTCCAAGCTGATAATAATTTTGAAAAATTTTCCCCAAGTCCAGCCTAATATAATTTATAAAAATATTCCAAGTCCATCTCAAGCCTGGCCAACCCATAGTAATTTCCAAAAAAATTTCTCAAGTCTGGAGGTAAATCTCTAAAAACCATATCTTTAACCCCATAATCGTTATTTTTAAAGTTTGTGAATTATTTTTGACCAAAATTGGTTAAAATAAATATTGCTAGCATGTTTAAATAAAACTCCAGTGAAAATGTACCTTAGATAGGTGACAATTATCATAATCATTATTTTTAAATTTTTTTAACGCAAATGGGTATAAATATAGATTGTAAACATGTTAAATTAAAATTTCATTAAGATGTACCATAGAAAAGTGACAATTATCATAATCGTTATTTTATATCTTTTTTGAATTTTTTTAACGTAAATGGGCTAAAATAAGTATTGCTAACATGTTTAATTATAATTTCAATGAAGATGTACCCTAGATAAGTTACAATTATCATAATCATTATTTTTAAATTTTTTTAACGCAAATGGGTAAAAATATAGACTGTAAATATGTTAAATTAAAATTTCAAGAAGATGTACCATAGAAAATTGACAATTATCATAAGCGTTATTTTATAACTTTTTTGAATTTTTTTAAAGTAAATGGGCTAAAATAAGTATTGCTAACATGTTTAATTATAATTTCAATGAAGATGTACCATAGATAAGTTACAATTGTCATAATCATTGTTTATTTTGAATTTTTTTGTTGCAAATGGGTAAAAATATAGATTGTAAACATGTTAAATTAAAATTTCACGATGATGTACCATTGAAAAGTGACAATTGTCATAATCGTTATTTTTAAAGTTTTTTGAATTTTTTTGACGTAAATGGGCTAAAATAAGTATTGCTAATATGTTTAATTATAATTTCAATGAAGATGTACCCTAGATAAGTGACAATTATCATAATCATTTTTTTAAAATTTTTTTAACGCAAATGGGTAAAAATATAGATTGTATTGATGTTAAATTAAAATTTCATGAAGATGTACCATAGAAAATTGGCCAAGGCCAATCCATTAAGACTAAAAGTGAATATTATTTTTTTAGTAAAAATATATTTAAATTAGCTTTTAGCTGATCATATAAATATTCTGTGTAAAATATTACACCTATGCCTAATATCTAATATTAAAAAAATTTCCAAGCCAGAACTATGCACTTAAGAAAATTTTCTCAAAGCCAAAGTATTAATAATTTAATTAAGATTTTATAACATTTTCAAATTTCCAATTTAGTGAAGTGTTAATAAATTTTAAACAACTAATTTATTTACGCCATTTATTTTAAATTTTTAACTTATTCTCAAAGATTATTAATTAGAGGAAAATGAAAGTGAACAACCAAAATAAAAATTATTATATTGGACATTCTTAATTTAAAGAATTATCAAAATCTAACTTAAAAATTGTTACGCAAAGATCTAGGGCAATTTTTTGTAAACTTATTAAAAGCATTTTATAATTTATATATACTAATCAATTATTTTTTGTTCAGAATAAATTTTACCATATATTAATGTAGTGCATATTATAAATGAAATTAAATTTATATATCTGTTTCTTAATTCTATGAATATTGCTATTTAAAAATTTATTCTCTATAACTCTTTTATTACATAGATCGAAGATAAGTGAACAACTCTTGGAAGATATTATGCTAATACGTCTAAATAAAATTTTAAAATTAATATTAATTTTTTATAACAAATTTATGTCTACTTTTTAATTATGATTTAAATATAGATTTTTTTTATCAATTCAAAAAATTTTTAAACCCGAGCTTAGCCCAAAACGAAACCCGGGTTTAAAAATATTTTCCTGAATCGAACCCGAACCAAATTAAAAACGCTTCTAATTTTTCTTAGTCAATATTAACTCTCAGCTTATTTTTATAATTTTTAATTTACTAAATATTTTCGTAATTATGCGTAAATGACAAAGTTAAAAGGTATTCATATGCCAAAAATAAACTAGTGTCCCTTGTATGCATATTGCATCTTTTAAAAATTTCATACACGCATATTATACACTTGTTACATTTATTATCACACTCTGAGTTATTATCATATTGTAATATTCCATCTTCTTCATTTGACTCCTCACTTGTACATATGATCATCGTCTGTTTTATTTAATTCTGCTACCAAATCTTTGAATACACTGGCAAATGAACATTATTCGTTACGTAATTTAACACTCAATATATATATCTTTACTATTTATTTCATCAAAATATCTAGGATGCAAATATTGCACATTCAAAATAAACTCTCAATTCGCGGAGAGCCGTTCCGACAAGCTGTTTATAATTTGATCAATTATAGGACGAAATACTCCGAACCTATAAAGATCAATCGATTCTTGAGGACGTTTATCTTGGCATTTGTCACTATATATTTTCTTCGCTCGTCCTATTCGATTTTTTGGCAGAGCATTCTGTACCCTGATACTCTCCGGGAGCTTTAAATATTAAAGTGTTTCATTTAAATTAGAAGCCATTTTATTGCTTTGTTTTGAATCGATGTAATAATCGTTGATACAAAAGACTTATAATCATCTATCATTTCCATGCAGACAAAGTACCTAATTTTTTAGTTTTGACAGTGGCTCAATTATTTCAAAAATTTCCAAATATATTATAGCTATACTTAGAGTCTTAAATTTACATAAATTATCAAGTTTTTGTTTCAAATGATTTATTATCTATTATAAATTGTAGCGCATTTATCGTTATTGGGTGCAGCTCTATTTACCATATATCCTCTAAGGGCCTTTTCACGTGCCCACCACCTTATCTAACCTATTTTTTGCAGCTTTCTCAACTTATTTTGGCCAGATGAATTATTCTGTTTCACCCAAGCATCCATCCTTTTATCTAATTCACCGACCTGGATTTTATTTGATTTCAATGAATTAAGAACAAGAAATGTTGGCTATATTATTTCAACAATAAATCAATGTATAAAAATGTAATATAATAAATTAAAACTTAGTTTTCACTCTACTCAAACGGAAGCGTTTTTATTTCATTTGAAAAAAAAACAAAGGAAAGAACGTGGTAATGATGTATAGCGTCAAGCGACGTTGCTGGTATTTTATGCATTAAATTATAGTAAACGATATGATAATTGTCAAGGAATGTGATATTCAAATCATAGAGATTTCATTAAAAATAAATAAATAATAAGAGAAAATAATGTGAACATAATAAATTT